TGGCCGCGACACTACGAGGACGACGCCCACAACAGACGAACCAGCGCCCTTCGCAGATCAACCCCACGACGACGACGAGATGCCAGCTTCCACAACGACGAGGACCACGAGGTCAGGAAGACGGGTGCGCTTCCCTGAGCGCCTGCAAAGCGGTTTTTCATAAAAAAAAACACTAGCAGGGGGGTACTGTAGGAACAACCGTTCCCACAAAATCAGGTGTTCTACCTGAGGGCATTCGTAATATTTGTATAAATGTAAATATTTCCTATCCTTCGTTTACCTGCCCTACACTTCTTCATACTTTCTCTTTTCGCTTCTGGAACTTTCTAAACCCTTCTTTACCTACTTCCACCTCTTCAAATCCGAGCTTACCTGTGTACCATTTTAAACACCCTTCCTTCTTCTCCCTGGCACCCTCGAACAGTAAACAACGAAATAAAATCTAAAAACCGTACCGTCGCTTTTAAATCACCAACGATACCCACAACTACGATACCCACAATATTTTTAATAATTTTCAAATGTCGGTCTCGCTGAAAATAAAACTATTTCTGTAAATTATTAAAAATGATGCACAATTGGAAAGTGAGAAGCGAGTAAGGCAAGGATGCACCGGCCGCACTTCAGACGGGTAGATAGGATGAATAAATTTCGACCGCCCAGTTTTATTTATAAAGTACGACGTCCACTTTGCAATTTGACGTTTCCGGGCTAGGCTACCGTGGCAAAGCATAGCAAAAACGCATCTGTGCGTGATGTTCGACGTCCCGCATGCTGTTGAAAGCGCCAAGGTTATCAAAAAAGTTTATGAGTGCAAAAAAATTATTTACAACACATTATCAACGAGAATACATTACATCGGAAGAATGTTACGTAGACATTTGTTTGATTTGAATGAGTTTATCGCCCCAAAACAGATAACTAAAATTATTCATAAGCCTCCATTGAACAAAATAATATTCTGAATGTTATTATTATAATTCTTACCTTCTCATTATTTTATTGTTATAAAGACGAGCGTATTCTCACATTTTCCAGAAAATGGGGTGGCTCGTTCCTAATTTGATCAATAATAAATTGACTGATTCATTCATTTTTTTGAGTCACCTGTTTAAGCAAATCTAAAAAATATTTATGCAGTGATAAATCACATTTATAGACTCATCATACTTTGCACAATGCATATTTAAGATAGCATTTTTTCGGAAAAATTTTGGGGTGGCGTAATCAATTTTTTATCGGGGGATGAGCAAATATATTTTGATGAAAAATTTACCATGCCTATGATAATTTTAAAACATCTCCAAGATTTCAAAGCATTTCGTTTTGTACATAGTTCATGATTAAATCAATAAAATTAATTTACGCATTCATTAATTTTTTTGAGTCACCCTGTATATGCAAATCCAAAAAATATGAATGGAATGATAACTTACAAGTACAGACTCATCATATTTTGTACATTTTAGACAGGATTTATTCGGTAAACTTTTCAGGTGACGTCATCAATTTTTTGGAGGGGACAAGTAAATATATTTTGAATAAAAACTTATCATGCTTATCATAACTGTAAACCATCTGTAAGATTTCAAAACATTCGGTACCAAATTAAATGTCAAAATGTTGCTTCCTAATTTTGATTTTTTTTCCAAAAATCTGGACGTTACGGGTAAAATCTCAATTCGGAGTCATAAACTACATGTGTAAGACTATGTTATCTTATACAATTTAAAACCCATTTACTATGTACATAATGAACGATGTTGAAGTGATGTCATCACATTAGTGGTGGGAATGATTAGGCAAATTTTGGTTAGCGTTTTACCATCTACATGATATTCCTAATATACTTAAATACACAATTTCACAATTATCGGTCCAGTACTTTCGGAGATTATGTGTCTAATAAAAATCCGGGACGGCAGACAGACAGACAGACAGACAGACAGACGCAAACGGGAGATCTATTTCTTCGTCTTCTAGGGGTCATAACAGGTCGAGAAAATGCAAAAGTAGAGAGTCGGCCAACGGACTCGATTACAATACTTCCTTTGCTTACGCTCGGGAAGTAAAAGTGCAAGCTTTGGAGCCCTCTGATTTTCCATGTCGTGCAATTTACTGCGAATGGTTGTTACAGCAGTATCGTGAACGTCCTAACTTTTTAAGTTACATTATGTTTATGGATAAAGCAGGATTCATTCGCAATACTGTTTTCAACAGCCACAACACTCACATTTGGTCCGATGAAAATCCACATGCTCCTCAAGAACTACGTTTTCAGTGACGGTTTTCCATAAATGTGTGATCCGATATCGGTTAGATGAAACAGTTAGTTTATGAAAATCAACAATGTCCATAAACTATCGGAGAGCTTCAACGAGTGGAAGTGGCAGCCACTATACGGTTCGTGGAACTCCCGTAGTTCTTTTACGTATCGGTGCAAACATGTTGTGACGTGCTGACGCCTGTATTGCTAGTCAAGGACAACATTCTCAAGATTTATGGCAAAACGGTAGTAGCATTCTAAATTCCTTTTATTTTTGTTCTAATAAACAATGTGAGATCGTTGTGGGAAGGACCAAACATCCGTCAGGATAAAAAGATGATCACCATGAAGCATTACCAAAAATTGTTCCTTCTCAAGACCACCATTTATTTCTACAACTAATAATCTTTCGCAGTGACCTGTAAGAATGAATGAATACATGAATGAACGAATGATAACCAGCAAAAAGTTGGTTTGCTGTTAACTGAATCTGAAAACGTTTACATCGTTCTTATTCGAACGTTTTTCTACCTACTGTGGTCGATGGTGGTACATGGGGGTTTTGCCCCATTCGATTTTTAATTTGTTTTTTCTATATTTCCACATGTTACAACTATTGCATATATTTCGAAATCATCCTGTAGAATCTTTTGTGTAAAAGCCAATGACCATTGCCTTGATGAGAAAGAGAAACCACAGTCCTTGTAAATAATTCTGGCGGTGTCGGGTGTCGGTCGCTACTTGCCAAGAGATGCAAGGTGGATGCAGGGATGTGCACCTACCAGGGGAACACTAAAGTGATACACTAACTTTTAAAGCTGACAATAAAAGAATTAATATCACAAAAGTATTAACTTCCGTCAAATAATGTTTATTAACCGTCTATTTACGACTAAACATCTGCACAGGGGCGAAATAAGCCAAGTGGAGCACTAGATATTGAAAGTAAGACCAGATCATGGAGGTCGAATACTATCTCCGTGGGCCACATAGAAAATACCTACGTATATTTAGGATATTGTTCTATTATATTCTTACAAAATAAACCCATACGCCGCCCCGGTACGACACCTATTGATTCTAGTATGTACGGCGATGACTCATTGTCGGTGACGTCGGCCGGAGAAAGAGCTGAAAGCGGATGTCACGATGGGTGTTCCAGAACAAGCCTAGAACTGGTGACGGAGACCTTCGAGAAAGACCGCGCGGCTGTTTAAATGAGAACCACCGTCGAGAGCAGTTAGTGTAGTCCAGACAATGGGTGAAGTCTAGGCAAATCCATTCCAGTCGAGTCGGAGTTATTCTGTACATAATCGCTGTGTAATTAGGTGGTCGTGTAAGTTCGAGTTACTAAGAAGTAAATTGTTGAGTATAACCCACGCCGATTTTTAAATACCCGTTCAACGTAACCAGTATTTTATGTATCTATTATCTATGTACCAATTGCAAGCTGACTTGACCACTAATTAATCAATTTCGTTTCACATTGTTTATGACTTTTTTTAAAAGTTGAGTGAAAAGGGCCGCTAAAACAGATCTTGTTGATTATAAAATAAATTGCAAGTGGTTTATTTCGCTCAACTTTCTTTTCTTTTTTTATTGATAATTTTTTTTTCGACTGAAACTGACATAATTATCTATTTTAAGTGTGATGTTCAGGGTAATTCAGCTTAAATGACTCATCTACCCCTTTCTTGTAGGTACTCTAACATTATTCATTTACTTACTCCTTGATTAAAAATTTAATTTTCAAAATCCATAGGAATCCAAGTTTACTTTTCTTTTTTCAAATGTGGGTGCCACTGTCACATACATAAACATAAAATATTTTAAATCTATGATTTGTGGTGTCCCAATTTGAATTAAACATTTCGCACTGAGAAAAAAAAGCAATGACGCGATTAGTCAGTAATATAAATAGGCCACCGTGCATTTTCAGGGGAATGTCAATGTTTGACAATGCGAAATGGCACGTAGATAATTTGAGGGTTCGACCGACTCACGCCTTTTTTGGACGCATCGCTTCACTTCAGTTGTAATTAAGGTTTTTCTAAGCGGAAGTGTGTGAATTTTTCACGATAAGTTTGCAGTCACATCATCGTAATAGGTAACTCGTGTATTTGAATTAATCTATGATATTCAAACGTTGATTTGGAACATTTGATTTGGTTTCATTTCGAAAGCTAGGCAAGTTTTTTTGTAGTTGAGAACTAAGAGGTCTTCAGCTTGTCCAAAATGCACTTGGTCGCAGCTTTTATTTTGTGTCAGGATGCAAGAATAAATCGATTTTTGTCCTCCATATTCTGTGTTTTATTTAAGTGTGCTTTTTCAACTTTGGGTTTCAAGTTGTAGGCCACGACTGCGATAGCGCTGGCGATCGGGCGATAATGTGCAGCACTTCCGCAATGCCGAAGTCTGGTTATCACAGTACTGTGTCACAGTTTGTGTCGAGTTTTTTGGGGGAATAGTCAATGTTAGTGAGAATAATGATGTTTGTTTAATCAGAGATTATAATACTCGTATCTGGTTTAAGTCTGTAAAAGTGTGATTTCAATGTAATTTGGAGCCATTATTAGGATTACAATAAACGCACAAATGTATTGTTGGGTATCTATACTATTGTACAGTATTTTTGAATGTAGTGCCGCGACACCCTTTTTTGTTGGCGCGAAATTCAATCTCAGATAAGTACAGACTGTTTCATAAAATGTAATACAAAAAAAACAGATATCAATTACCACCTAATAAATGTGTATTTATTAAAAACTTCCACATAATAAATGTAACATTACACATACAAAACACATGATGTCAAGAGTTCAACCCTCTCGCCATTCACAACATCCTTCATGTATCCTAAAATAAACATTTTTTAATACTTTAATACCTGTGAGAAAATTTAACTGACTGAAAGTAGCAGTCTCTCAATTGCAGCTGAAACATCGCCAAACGTTGCTACCAGAGCCTGCAAATTAGCTTCTCTGTTAGTGAACCCCATGGCCATTAATTGCTCCAACTGAGCTTGATATTGCTGTTCTGGTGGTAAATTTTGCTGCTGATTCATACCAGCTACCATGCGAGCCATAAATTCGGCAAAGGTGTCTGTTGATGGCGTTGTACTTGGAGTAGTCCCTGCTGTAGTAGTGGTTGTAGTAGTACTAGTCACTGGTTCAGCTGTTGTGGTAGGATTTGTGGGAGGATTTAGCAAATTTGGTGCTGTTTGTCTCAACGTTTCCATGCCCTGCTGTATTTGCATAATTGCGTTAAGTGCCTGTGGATTTGTTAAAACATTTTGCATATCAGGATTCTGCAACTGCTGCAAAAATTGTGGCATCATATTTCGAATCTGTTCTTGTAGAGCTGGGTTTCCTGCTAAAAGAGGATTTTCCTGAAGTAGAGTATTTGCCATATTTGGATCAGCCGAGAGAGCTGCTAACATGGACTGTGTGTATGGTGCTGACAACATATTTTGCATTAAATCCGAATTTTCGAGCATCTGCTGCATAACGCTAGCCATTGATCTATTTTGAGAGCCAGAGTTGGCCTGGCTAGTCCATGGATTTGGTACTGAACGACTGTTCTGCTGATTTGAGCCAGTATTTTCAGCGAGTCCTGCAAATGGATTTTGTGTGAATTGTTCAGTTAAACTGGTCAGCATAGGTTCTTGAATATCTCGATACATTCTTTGTAGTGCATTATATCCTCCTGGAATGCTTTCTAGATTAGCCATTGCACGATCATTGCTTCTGAGCAGCTCTTGATATACAGATGGATTTCGAACTAATTCCATTGTCTGTCGTAAAACTTCTGGATTATTAAGCATGTGATTAATTTCAGGGTTTCGTTCTAATAACTCTTGCATTTGTGGGTTGCTAGTTATCAGTGTTCTCATACGTTCAGGATCACTCATCAAACTTTGAGTTAATGGATTGTCTAAATAAAACTGCAGAAGAGATGGATTGCTTTGGATTTCTCTTTGTAGACGTTGCTGTATCTCAACCAAATTTCCAGAATTCATTCCCATGGAACTTAACCCTACTAAACCACCCAAGTTGCCAAAAGATGCTTGAGCACCATCACCCTGAGGCCGTGTCGATGAACTCTGCACTGGAACTGTCTTAACTACCAAATGAACAGTTAATCCATCTCGAATATTATGCTGCAGTAAAGTATCATGATCTTTTAATATTTTTCCAGCAAAAATCAAATTTAATCGGGTCGGTTCAGCGTTAAATTTCGGTGAGATTAGTTCCTTGAAAGACTTTACGTCTAGAGATTCATCAACTTCAAATATCTCTTTTTGTTTTTGTGACTTCACAGTAATGCTGATTTTCTTTGGGTTCTTGCTTCCTTCTTCATCTTCATCAGGCAACTCCTTTTCAGCGGAGTTACTAGGTTTTTCCGGAGTTTGTGAATCGGTGGGATTTTCGTCAGCCATGAGTGCTAAAGCTTTTCCAAAATTTTGCCTATTCTAACAATTTGCTCGATTTTCACAATACTATCCGCTTTACAAACTTTAGAAACCCTTATTTTGACACATGTCGCTGGAAAATTTAAAAACTTCATTTACTAGGTGAAAGGAGGAAATTTTTTAGGGTAATAATTTTTACCACTGCATTGGACATTTCATGACGCGACAGAATGAGGTTAGGTCGTTGTTGTCAAAACACGAGAAATGTCATGTCATTTAACAGTTGATTATTAAAAAAACAAATATCCACAATAAACTACAATATTCAGCAAGATGAATGGTCAAGCAAAAAGTACTCCAGAATCGCAGCTTCAAAGTCAGTTAATAAACTTCTATCGATGCCAATTTGAAAATAATTTTTTTTTAGTTGCAATTGGAATTTTATTGGAATCCATTGTGGACAAAAGTCAACTTGTATATGAGACTGTGAATGGATCAATACGAAAGTTAGCTGAAAGACATCCAAACCAAGTACTAAACTCATGTTGCTACTTTTGCGAACGTAATCCGAAACCAACAAATGAACATATCTCTTCAATTTTAATGATAATGGAAAAAATTTGTGTTGAACATATCATTGAAATTGATGGTGATACAATCCTTTTAACAATAGATTTTTGTTTGCGGACCATGATAGAAAATATCAATTACGAACCAGTTATTCAAATGCCCGCATCTTGCGTTTTAGTTGCGTTGGGAAGAAAACATCATATTCAGGTTTTAGTAAACTTTTGACTTTTGTGTTATTATAAACAGAAAAATAATTTAGGTAATGGAGAGTTTACTTGGAAAATTAGAAATAGGTGTGTTGCCACATTATATGGTACCACATACTTTGGGAGCTCTAGCAAATGCAAATGCTCATGGTGTTGTTCCTTACCTTAAAAATATCCTTTCAATAATGTTGCCTCTTCTTGGAGGTGTAAAATTTGATCCACTCAAACAGGCCTTTGCTTATGGTAATATAAACATTAGGTGGCACTTGAAATTCTATTTTATAAAATTTTTTAGCTATAGGCAGTTTTTGTGAGGCATTGGTGGAATACACTTCAAACCTCGATCAAGTGCCTGATAATACAATAACCATTGAAAACTTCCAACTGGAAATAGGTATGTCATATGACATTTTGTTTGCATCATGGTTGCAGTCACGTGAACACAGAGTTATTGGAAGTGTCCTTAACGCTTTATCCGCTATTTTCCTTATACTAAGTGTAGAAAAAGTTACTCAGCAGACACCAAGGATTGTTCACACTTTATTAAATGTGTACAAAAAACAAGTAGACGCTTATAACGTTACAAAGTGTCTAGGATCCATTATCCAAAAGGCCGCAAATGTTAATGGAACATTATTGGAACCTCTGCTTCCAAACATATTGCAAGCATTATCCGACTTAGTGTGCGTTTCTCCAGATTATGCACAGCCTGACTTGTTAAGAAACCATTCTGAAGTATTAAGGTGTTATGAGTGTTTTGCTCTACACTTCACTGATAATACAATAGATCAGCTTATTAATCAGTTGAAAAATAATAATGAAAAAGAAAGAATTAAAGCTCTTCTCGTTATTACACATCTCACATCCTATTCTACTGAACATGCCATACAAAGAAGGTTTAAAGACATTATCAAGCATTTGAGTGAAATGTTAAATGATCCAAATATTAGGGTGAAAAAAGCCATAATGAAGATTATTGTTGCTTTTGCATGTAAAGGAGTTCTATTAAACAAAGGTAAAATATGGTGAACCTCCTGCTGAAAATTTGATGTTGGGAATTCACTTTTTTGTAGCATAGAATTACAATTTTAATAGTATTTTTACGTAAAAGTGTGAAATGTGCTTATAACGAGGTATTAGAAGGTAATTGTATTTCAAATTAAGTGCGGTAATGTAACTTATTATTACATTCATTTGGGTGAGATAAGTTAAATTTATCCCATTATCACTGATAAAGTATATTTATTGACCCATGTGTGTATATTATTATTCATTATTATTTGTTATTTTCGAGGTAAAACTGACGTAACTCATCCACATACACTGAGAGATGCCGTTTACTCACAATAAATTTCAAAAGTATAGAAACAGAGGAAGCGTGGTGTGGAGTTTCAGATTTGTTAAAGTATAGGTAAAGAAGCATTATGTAAAAAAAAATAATAAGAATATGAAGAAAAGGGAAAGGAAAACTTTAGATATTAACATTTAATAATAATTTGAAGACTTAAATTTAAAACTTTATTTTTATGCAATCACTGATATTTATGACACACTTCGGAAATTTAGGCATATTTAAATTTTTTTACGTGATACCAGCCTTACCACCATCAAATTTTTCAGCTTTTCTTTATCGATTTACTTCAGTTTTTGATATCTAACAACATTTGTAGAAATAAATCCCGACGGCCCAGACAAATACATGGAATTTCTTTTAAAACTCTGTTGCAAGCCTGGACATGTAAAAAATAATGATGTAGATAGTGGTGAATTATTTGAAATACAAAAATCCGCCGATAATACATTATGTATGTTAAGCACGTCAGTACCAGAATTAGAATCGACTTTATGGCATTTACTTATGCAGTGTTTTCTTGGACCATACTACGATGATGCCATAGTAGTTTTATTACGTTGTTTAACTCATCTAGCTTCTAGAAAATCTACCACTGAAGTTTGTGATGGTGCTTTTATGAGATGTATTACGCTGTTAGCCATCCCTTTACCAGGGTTTAGGGGAACTTTCGTCTTAAATTTTCTTAAAAACATCAAACCGTGCAATGTAGACAGATATAAAGGAGTGTGGGATTCAAAAATCCCTCAACTCGTCAAATACTTGGAACAGAATTACGATAATTTTCATCAGTTGGAGTGGCAAGACTTGGTTTTTGATTTTCTTGGTATACTTCTTGAAGCTGTGAAAGATCAGAAATTTAACGAATCCTTAATTTCGACTGCAAGAAAACAACTCGAAATGTACAATAACAACAGGTAACGGTCTAGTTTTTCTTCTTTTTCTTTTCTTAATGTTTTCTTTGTAGATATATCAACGCTTCTGATCCTTCAGTAAAACAAAGTGAAAAACATTTTCTTTTAAAATGCCTTGCAATGATACTTTGTCATTCTCAAGAAAAAGAAATCATTTTACAAACTTTGGACGATATTCTAGTGAATGCAAAACTAACAGATTATTCTGAATTACACGCTTGCGCAGAAGCTGTTGGAATATGTTCAAGAGTCCACTTGCAGTACGTTTTGGACAAACTGTCGATAATCAGGAAGGATGTTCTATTAAAAAAATCATCGAAATTTTTCCAGTTCTCTTTCATAAAAGATCAGAAACACGAATTAGGAATTGAAAGAGTAAGGTACGTGATAATCGCAAGTTATGCCGAAATTTGTAACGAAGCATCGACTGATAAACTTTTAAAAGTGATAGAATCCGAAATCCTAGATTTCGTGGTTAGTGAGTTAACCAGTGCCAAAGATTTTGCCATAAGGAAAGCCTGTTTACGTGCAATAGGTAGCGTTGCAGATGCGATGCACCCTAATAGAAATACTCTTCATATTCGTATGCTTGACAGAGATAAGGTGTTGCAGTTGGTTTCTTCAGAGATACACTTACATAACGGTCCTGAGTACATTGAATTATTCCCTGTGATATTACCTGTAATAACTTCTTTGGTGCGTTTGCCGTTACCATTGGAGTCAGATCAGCGGTTAAAATTATTGAAGTTGTGTTTTGATAATGTTTACAATGCCTCCGCAATTTATTGTAAAATCACTACAGATAATAACGACAATAATTATTATGGGGATCTAAAATTAGTACCTTTTGTAACTTCAAGTTTTACGAAATTGAACCAATTGGTACAAGAGTTGTTGATGCAGACTTTATCGCCCGCAACTCTTGATGAAATTGTCACTTTACTTGAGCCTTGGTTAGGACGTAGAAAAGCAGAACAGAGGCTCCCTGCAGCGGAAACTTTAAGAATGGTACTTCAGACGTATTTGGACAACATGAAATTTGCGTATGATTGTCCTACGACGTTCAGTCAGACTGGTTTTTTATTGTCTAAAATTGTGCCCAGAAGTACTGATCCAAATAAAAACATTAGGAAGGTGAGTTGTGTGTAGTACATTACGTACCAAAAAAGCAGCACCTAGAATAAGTTTTTTAAATGTTGAGTAACGAGTGTCGCAAATTTTTCGCTTAATTCGATATGTGATAAAAATCAAATTTAATGACATCCTAAACAGTTGGCAATAATTGTGTTGAACTTTTTAAATTTTTAAAATGTCATCAATTTTAGTGTAACATTAATTATATTTTCAAAATTTCGGAGAAATTAGATGAGCCTTTTTGAGATCCTTAATAAAATAAGCTGAGTAATTATTAGAAGTTATTAATTTTTTTTATACCTCTGTATAATTGTTTCTAACTTTTTTTGGTGTTAATAATGTAATTTCACTGTCCTAGTCTAATTAGTTGCACCTTTAATGCATAATTTATCAAAATTCAACAATATCGGTGGACTGCTTCTATGTGGTGCGCTGTTTTTGGCATTTTTTATGATGTATTGTAAATATCATAATGCACTGTTTAATTGAAACAAAACCATTTTAGGTCGCAACTGAGTCCTTGTGTCTTGTTCTCTGCATAGCATCCAGATATGAGGGTCACATGAGAGACCACGACAAACAACTGAGTAATTCTATGCAGCATATTCAACAGCAAATAGATTCTGATGAACCCAAATTGCTCTACAATTTAACAACAGATCTGGCACACATTATATGCGTGAATCTACCACAATTTCAACTAAACCATTTTGTAGATGGTCTAATGGACGCCTTGTTAGATTGTGAAACTTCAAGTTCGACCGGAAGCAGTGTAGTTTTAAACATGACTCTAAAGAGTAAAGGTAGCGAATTGCAAGGTCATGTTCACACTGTAATGGAGAAGTTAATAACCCAACTCGCCAAAATCCATTGTCCTCGAACCAAATCATCTACTTTAAGAAGTATTCTTAATTTCGCGACACATCATTCGAAAACCGTGTGTCAAATTCTTCTTAATCAACCGTTGCCTTTTGATGGATCAATATGTGACTGTTGGGCAGTTCTTTCCACTGATCAAACCCTAGTTTTAGATTTATTTGACAATTTAAAAAAAGTTTTGAAGCAGACACCGCTATATGACGAACAGGGTAACGGAGATATCAGAATAGCGACTCTACCACCGCTGCAAGCCATTCATGCTCTTCACGAACTTCTGAAAAATGTACAACTGAAGGATATCTGTAGACAGCATTTTCCTGAAATTTTTGCGCTATTACTAGTCACATTGGCTTCCTATATTGGCACTTCTGCCCCAGCAATAAAATCGAACAGTGACAAAAAAGAAAAATACGGTTTTGTTTTGAACAGGGAAGCCTATAAATTGAAACCCGCTAAAGTAGCTTTGGAAACTTTGAAATCGTTTTTGCACTGTTGCGATTATACACAGACCGCTGGTTGCTTAATGAATTTGATAAATATAGACTCTACTGAAGACTTGACGACTTTCTTGGATACTACATCGTCTCTTGTTGAGAATATTTGTTCAGAAAATCCGGAATCTTTGTCTTGGCTTGTGGCTTGTTTGGGTCCATATATTAGAGCCGAGCTGGAACCGCAAAGAGTGGCAGTAGTGGTTTTCTTTGCTTTTCTGTTAAAGCAGAAGGCAAACAATCAGACTGTACTTGCAGAAAATCTACTGGAAATGACACTGGATGTGCAAATGGATCAAAGTTGTTTGGTAAGGAAGATTGCTTTGCAGGGATTGGGATTCGCTGCTGAGTGTTTGAATCTGGATTTAGTGTCGAGACATTGTCAACCGATTTTAAGTGTCCTGATGAACAGTCTAGACTACAATAGTATTGGGTGAGTAGTATTAAAGTTATCTTTAATAAATATTTTCTCATACTGATTGCCTAGTTTACATTGAAAATTTGGTTCTGTATGTGTAGTTGTAAATGCATCCTTTGTGAAATTTCAAAATTATGTATTTTGATTTGTTCTAAGATAATACTGTACAAACAATAATAGCTCAGTTTCTTGATACTATTATCAAAAACCGGATGTATAATAAATTTCTTGATAATGAAAAAATATTTATTATACGAAAATACCAAGGATGTTTACAGAAGGCTGAGATTGATATCATTAAGCCTAATTGTGTTAATTTATGTTTAAAAATGTGGTATTTTAATTCGGTTTTTGTGTTTAGGTAAAATATTGGTAATAGAACAGGAAAGTGGCCTTTGTTGCGTAAAAAATTGTTATATTTGCGATATCCTGAGGTGTACTCCTATTTCTGAAGAACACTAGGAAATATGGAGATATTAAAAAATATATGTTCTTTCAAAATAACCGTTTTGGTTTGCTTCTTGAATAAATGCAACAAGAACACTTTGTTTTCATAACCGCCATTACATTTTTATGTCAATGAAAACATAAAATTTTCTAAATGTTTTCATAAAAAAATGTTTTCGTTTCCTTAGTTGAACAAAACTTTGTCGCTATAGATGTCCTTTTTAATTTCAGCAGTAGTATAAATTTTAGGGGCAGTGACATGAAAAAATCTATTTTGGCTGACTATATAACTAAAATACATAAGGAGTTGCTTCAAAGTAATTTTTAAATTTTTGGGTTTTCTAAACTTGCTAGTAGATCGTATCGAATAGAAACGAAAAGGAGTATAGAAACTTTGAGACGGGTTTAGTGTTGAATTAATGTAACAAAAAAATTAGAATATTTTTTATCAAAGTTCATTGTTACTGTTTGTTATTTATATCAATATGAGCTTGCATTTTTTACTTCCCAAGCGTAAGCTAAGGAAGTATAGTAATCGAGTCCATTGGACGAATAGCCACTTTTATATTTTCTCGACGTTTCATGACCCCTACAGTACGAAAAAAGTAATTTTCCGTTTCCGTCTGTTTGTCTGTCTGTCTGGTGTCTGTATCCATTTTTATTAGACACTAATCTCTGAAACTGCTGTACAGATTGTAGTCAAATTTTGTATGTATATTTGAAATATGTAGATGGTTAAATGCTGACCAAAATTTGGCTAATCATCCCCATGAACAATTTGATGACGTCATTTCAAAGAATTCTATGTTTATCTGATTTAATTGTTATTCAACGTTGTAGTCCTATAAGTGTGGTGTACGAATCCGCCTTGAATTTTTCACTAACCGTCCAAATTTTGGCAAAAACGGTATAAAAACATTTTAGCATTAGCGTAAGTTCGATTCCAAGCTTGGTCTTACGTTTATTTTTCTTTTTTTTTCTATTTCTCTCGCATTGTGTATTATCTATGTTTATGACGTCACAACAAATTTTTATTGAAGAAATTATCCTACTTTCTCGAAAACGTGAGAAGACTCTTTATTTAAAATATAAAACCTTCTGGAGGGCGCCAAATGTCTTTTTCGCGGGATCCCAACTGTTTTTTTTTAATATAAAACCTCTAGGGCCCCAAATGTATTTTATTAAGAATGTGAAACCTTCTCGGGGGTTCCAACGGTCTTTTTTAAAAATGTAAAACCTTCTCGGGGGTCCCAATTGTTTTTTTTTTTTTAATGTAAAACCTTCTCAGAAGCACCAAATGTTTTTTAGAATGTGAAACCTTCTCGGGGATCCCAACTGGTTTTTTTTAAGAAGGCGAAACCTTCTCGGGGGCCCTAAGTGTATTTTTTAAGAATGTAAAGCCTTCCTGGGCGCCCCAAATGTCTTGTTTTTAATCTGAAACCTTCTCGGGGGTTCCAACTGTCTTTTTTAACAATATAAAGCCTTGTCGGGGGCGCCAAATGTCTTTTTTAAGAATGTGAAACCTTCTCGGGGACCCCAAATGTCTTTTTTTATGAATGAGAAACCTTGTCGAGGCTCCCAACTGTCCTTTTCTAAAGAAGGCGAGACCTCCTCGGGGGCCCCAAATGTCTTTTTTTAAGAGGGTGAAAACTTCTTTCTTTTATTACACTGTGACCAGTACCTTCTATATTGTTTTTATTCCATAGAGGTTATCACGAAAAAGTAAAATTCTGCAAAATCAAATTTTATAATTTTTCAGAGAAGCAGTATTTGTTGGACTGTACTTCAGAAGCGAAGGAAGTTTGGACGAAATAACTTTCGACCAATTTTTTTAATTCGTTTTTGTGATATTTTCTTCTGAGAAGAATCAAATTTAGTACTACTTGTAACTAACTATATTTATCCAGTAAAACATGATTATCTTTCCAGGAACGAAAGCGATGTAATACTTGAAGGAATGTTAAGTTTTTCCAAACTCCTTACGATGTTAGAGGGTCGTAAATTCAGTACTTGTCAAGTAACGGCAGCTGTAAGAATAAAACCTTTGTTGGACCAAGAAGACGTACTACTAAGAAGAGCTTCCTTTCGCCTTTTGGGTGATTTAGCTGCATCTCTCAGCCCAGATGCAAATATAGAAGCATTTCGAGAGCAGGTTCAAGGCAATTTGATAACATTGATTCTCCACCTATGCGACCCAGATATGCACGTAATAAAAGCTTGCAAGTACACTTTACGTAAAGTAGCAATCTATTTGGAGAGCCCCAAAGTTAATTCAATGATTCAAGAACATTTAATTGACGAGGCAAACTTACACTATGTTGATTTCATTAAAGATCTGATAAAAATTATGGTAATATCAGGTTTTAAACTAAAGTTTCTGAACCTACTAGTTTACTGTTTTAGGCTGAAGAAATGCAAGAATTGTTCAATTTATTTGTTATGACAAGTTTATCATACTTGAAAAGTCCATGGGTTGAAATTCGAAGCAGTGCAGCACTCATGGTGGGTTTACTTTTTTCGCAGCTGAGTGCTGAAAGTAGGCATAGAATATCGTTGGATACAGTTTGTGATAAATTGATGCGATTAATTAGCGATGACCATGAAGAGGTGAGGATGAGGGCGGTACAGGCAATCGCGTACTTATTTTTAGATTAATTATAACTTTTTTATCTCTTTGACAAGATTCCTAGTAGGTAGTACGATGCTAGCATTCCATTTTTATATTTGTGGCGAATTTCACGATCATCATGTTTAAAGTAGACGCAGAGTTCTTCCTAAATTGTGATTGTATTGAATTTACGTCTTTTCATGATCGAATTGAATTTAGGTTTAAAAATAAGTTAAATTTAATTTCATGTTTTCAACGACTTGTTGTACTGCATTGCTAGTCATATCATAATAAACTTATCATGGAATATGTCTAGTGAACGTTAATGAGATTGGTCACGAGTATTTAGATTTACGGTTCCAAGGTTTGAAAATTGAAACCTATTTTTTGTGATACGTTTGAAATATACTATACCTTCTTATATAAGATACTTAACTCAGCAATGTACTAAACAGTAAAATAAAGTTATAAAGCATCAACAAAGAATTTTACTACACATCTGGGCTAGACTACTAGGATTTCTCAATGTTGTACCGTTTAGTAATGGCCTGTGTAACAGAAATGAATGGATGTACAACAGGCATATCGACTTTGGCAAGTGAGACATTGCCACAAAATCGAGGCTTATACCCCGCATATCCGGGTATTGGTGCATCATGTGCAAGTCGTAGTTTATCGTGTTTAATTAGTTCACTGATTTGTTGTTTTGTTTCTTCCGAAACGAGTCCTTTAACTCTGTCAAAGCAAGCACCACATCTTAAAGACGCTGTTAAGTATTAACATAAAAAAATATGGAAACTCACTTCACGGGTGGGTCTTTGTGTTGCCAAAATGTTTTTGTTGGATCAACAGTACTTTTAATTTGTTCATTTTCCCATGCTTTTCCTTTATTGTTAAATGAGTTAGGTAGAGGAGGCAACAGATCAACTTTAAGTTGTACCTGGGAAATGTCCTTTATAAAAATTACCCAAAAACTAACTTTTATTTATACAGGATCACCACTTATTTCCACTGTTGTATTTGGAATGTGTCGTTTTGTAGCTTGAACTTCCGATTCTTGTATTGCTTTCGTCCACTCTGAAGTGTACATGTGATCACATATTAGTTTTCGAATTTCTGGATCCTCAATGTCATCCATGCTTATTGCTGGAGACATGTAAATGCGAGGTCTGGTCTTAATTGCTTCTTCTTTATCGGCACTTTCCGGTATAACCTTATTTATTCCAAACAATTTTTAGCTAACTCAAATCAAAATACTGTGGAAGACTTACTGGTGTGGTAAAAGGTTCATATGGGTTGGTGTGGATAATTTCCTTACGTCTCCAAAGTAAATTAAAAGGAATATGAACATCTGGACGCCAGTGAGTAAATGTTTCATTATCTTGAAATATGTAGTCTCGCTTTGGCTTCCTTTTGTGTCCATCAAGATCATATAGAGTTTTTTTGCAAAGCGATGCAGGGATGTGACTTTCTACTGGCAGTTTTTTATAATCATTTTGGTACGTTGACTGAGGTTTAAAAATATCTAATTTGATTGTGTCGTCGTATTTATTCATTTTAATTAACACTTTTAAGTTTTAATCAAATAATGTAAAAATGTCATTAAAAATTTAATGCCACCTATGTTTACATGTACATTATGCCAAAAAATTCATGCTGTTGTGATGGCCTGATTTAGAGATGTAGTGTCCGATGTCCCTTAGCTCCCGGACCTGTGGAGGGCCGCTTTAGAAAGTAAGAAGGATAAATGAACTGTGACTTCGCTCCATTGTGTCAAGAGATAATGGAGAAATCACATTTCATTTTTCAATCTATATTATTAACGTATCAATTACGTTACATACAATACAGATTGACGAGTTCAAACGAAGTAACAGCTCGTTAAAGTAACACTTGTAACTTAAAAATGTGGTATAAAGAAACACGTAAAAGTACGTAAACGAGCAGGGTTGTGTACCTTGTTAATGTAATTAACGATGAATATGGAATGATTATGCAAACAACGAACGATAATAAATATTGTGAACGCATTCCGCCATTTTTTTCTTATAACGGATGACAATTTTTTGGGTTTTGTTGGGGCAAGTTGTATGCGCAGATCTGCAGGGATATGTATTGCGCAGCTGTTGCCATGTCAAATCACTGCATTTGTGAGTTTATTATGTCTTGTACATTTAAGAAAGTGGTAGAGTGCCAAGCATAACGAAAGGTGACATGGGCGGAGCTTCAGATGCGCGCCTATCTCTTACCAGTGGCGTAACTGATTTATCATAAAATGTAATTAAAGTAATAAATGCTTTGAGGACCCTATTAAACAAAATTCTTCTTGCTAATAAATACAAAGTAACAAAATAAATAAAAATAACTTTAAAAAATAGGAGACACAAAAGGCTGGCACCAGACATACGAAAGACGAAAAGTACGACAAATTAACGGCGCCACTGCCCTATGTTTCCATCCCCCGAGAGCTATGAATAGACTCGACCAACGTAACTTGCTTTACTGCGCAACCCACGTGATGGCCCTTTACGTTTTGATTGTCACTCTACGTTTTTACCTTTTGAGCGTAAGCTAAAGAATTATTGTAATCAAGTCCATCAGACGATTTTTTTCCAAAACTTCTTCACGTAATAGCATAAATTCATTCTGATATTTTATAAGTTCTTTTTAATGAAAATAAAGTACAAGATAATTTCTACTTATAAATTAAATTGCAAGAGCATCACTTTGCACTTCATGATTCAACTGAGTTTGTAAATTCGACAACTTGTCTTTCAGCATCGCTACCCCCATAATGACAATATTTTCAGGCTTCAGAGATCCTGCTGCTTCCACGTTAAAGTAGAATTTATTTGGTTTTAATTCCCAATTAAACTCGGCTTCGTCTGAAAAAAAAAAGTTTGCTGACGTCAAATGTTAAATATTACTTATACACACATTGATCATCATCTAATTCACTGTATTCACTCTTTGGCCATTCATCTGGTTTAGGAAAAAGTGTATGTCTCATCGAATTATCAGGATCATATTCAAACGCCACACCTGCAGTTGGATTCCACTTGGCATGTTCCTTTCCAAACCCTGAAAAATATTTTTGTTACTCCTTATTAATTAATACTAAACACAAACCTTTCTTAGCATATGCTTTAACTTTTAATTCTTGGCCTTTACGTAGCTTAATAATCAAAATTTCATCAGTGTCTCCATATTCAGAAGATTCATCGTCTCTATGTTTTGAAGTAGCGGGTATCACACGTGGATCGCTAGATTTTAAATCTGCAGTTGTAACGTGTCGTGTGTGATCATCTGTGCATTTCACATCCAACGTGAATTCAACACTACACTCATGACAAAAATCAGAGCAAATGCAATCCTACAGATTTTTTAAAACAATTAGATTTCAAATAAAATTTACATACTTACTCTGGGATACTGAAGGCGCTGAACAACATCGTCAGATATAAGGGGTATGAGACCTATTCTATGTGCTAAAAATTCATCACTTAGTACAGTTGAATTGGCTTCTAGTTTTACCCAATCGATGGCCAAAGTTGGTGTCTCCGCAATTAATACGCGACGTATGCTATTTGCAACACTAGAAATGAAATAATGCAAAATGTACTGGCCATTTTATCGAATACTTACCTTAAATCTGTGTCTTCTACATAGAATTTTACGTTATCGTCGGTTAAATCTGTGATGTGAACAGAGGGCTGATTAGCGTACGGCATAGTTTCCTTTCGTAGATGTACTTAAAATTCTATTTTACTGCTATATACACACATAAATATTTGTGGTACAAATCGTTAAAACAGCCGCTGATACAAATTCGTAACAACAAAACTAGGGAAACAAAATCTAACCTCACTCTGTCCCGTCTACGTCCTTTCAATTAAAACTGTGGTGATTTTTGTTACTTACGTTTGTGAACATGTAGCATTTAGTAATTTAATCTGTCACTTGTTGTCACTTGTCATTGTCATAAATGTCATTCGTGTTTGATGTATCGTGGTTTGTTTTTGTCTGAATTGTGATGTGATTATAATAAAATATAATAAAATTAATTCTGCTGGAACATCATACAGAATTAATTCAAGAGATAAACTAAGAAATTGGCGACATTTTTCAGTCCACTGGTATCAGAATATGATGGAAAATGATTCAACAACCCCCTACATCATTCAAATTGATGAGGTAATAAAAATGATTTATTTTTTACGAAGCAATCATTTTCGGCATTCCTCTTTTCGAATTTAGCCTTTCCAGACCATCCATTTATCAGAAGAACTCAATAATCTTGGAATAGAAATTGGTCCAAATACAGAACTTGCCACTTTAAGTATGATAAACAATCCTCAGATTGTGGTGGAATCTACAGAAATTGTACAAGAAACTGCGGAACCTGTTCAACAAAACTTCGGCGTTTTGAACCCAGAAGAACAACCATGTATTGTTCAAATAGTATATCCTCAAGATCTGTGTTTGGGTGTAAGGAAATAAATTGTAATAGTGTGTTGTAACTAACATCGGTTTTGTTGTTAGCCTAAACAAAATGCTGGTAAACGCGGACGGCCAAAGAAGAAGCAAGAGAAAACACAAGTTAGTAATGATGTTATATCTCCTCAGCCAGAAATTAAAAAAGATCCTCCAAAATCAGCAAGAACAAGGTCTGGGCGACTTGTAAAATTACCAAAATACATTGAAAAGGTACTTTGAGCAATCTCAATGTCATGTATCTAAATCACAGTTTTTTTAGGATTTTAAAAAGATTGAAACGACCACGCAACAGCATGATCTGCAGGTATCAGATTTTGAACGATTTGAGGAAAAAGAAAATTCAAAAGTGGAATTTCCTGAAGTTCAGACAAAAAAGCGAGTTATATCAGCCCAGTATAAATGTCCAAAATGTTTTAAAGCATACCTGGGTAAAAACAAGATGATTCAACATTTAAAAAAGTATCCAGATCATGGACCCCTTCCTGAAGGTTATCAAGAATTTAATTTTGATGTTTGGAATTACTTGTTTGATATTACTCAGAAGTGTAAATCAGGGCAGCGTGGTGTAAAATTTTGTGAAGAATTGAGTAATTTGTTACACAATGTGCAACTTTTGAAAAGTGCTCTGTTTAAAACTGTAACAGATAATAAAAATTCTGTACACATAGATAAAGTTTTGGGTAATGCTATAGGTTTACCACCTGGTAAATATAAATTTGATGAAAACGAATTATACAAAGACGTGACAGTTCTCAAACTGATTACAAATAGTGATTTTTTTAAACCAAATGTAAATAAACCGGTTGCTGATAGTACGATAACGAAAAATAAAAATGTTGAGGATGTGCAATTGGAACCTACAGAAACGAAAAAATTGAAACAAGAGTCTCGACAAGCAGATGCAAATTTTGCGTTGGCTAATGACAGTCAACAAAATGAAATTTGTAAACAAGATGATATCAAGAGTGCCAAATCAGATGAAAGTGTATACAATTTTTCTTCAAAGGCTGATCCAGGGGACAACAAACCATTGAAAATAGATGAAAATGAGATCACAGATGGTTTCTCAAAGAAAATGGAAGTAGATAATCAAATGTTATCATCTGATTTGTTAACAGATAACTTATTACTGCAGTCATTACCTAACCCAAGAACCTCTGTAGAAGACCTTATGTTGACTGGTGTTGATAATGGTTCTAATTTATTAGATAACAGTACTAGTTCAGATGAACTTATGAATGTTGATCAGTTTGTAAATGAAAGGTTTAAAAAAATTATTGGACCAGACTTGGAACTTGCTAATACATCCCTAAATTTAGATTTACCAAGTTTGGAACTTTTTCAGTTTCACACAAGTTGATATTAAAGGAGCAATTCACTCAGAGAAATGTGTTTTGAAATAATTAGAACTTTGAAGTACTTACTCTTTAGAAACAAATGTTTTTGGAGCACTTTGGTGTGTGAAACGTTTGTGGATCAGTCCATGTATGACGTCCATCATATGATGCAAAAATATTTTTCACCAAAAGAGTAAGTGCTAACAAACTAGTGTTGATTCAGTTATTTGAAAACAGGTTCTTTGAGAGAATTGCTCCATAATTAATGTAATGATAATAAGTCTTAAATTATCTAGAAGGAACCCCTATAACAGCTTTTTTTGTAAAATATATGAAAGAATATAGTGTCTGTGTTGATGTTACTTAATTTGTAACCAATACTTTAGAAAGTCACCAATAAAATCATTGTGGTATTATACTGTTATGTTTGATGTTAAACATAAAGTACTAAAGAATACTTATTGCAAAGTTAACTTATTCGCACGCTGGTAGCATATTTGCAGGTTTACGTTTGTGATAAAAATATGTATGTAGAAATTATACCTATATAACTAAAACCTAACGTTAAATAAATAATTTTTTCACATAAAAATGAAAAATTACTTTTCATTAATGTTTGGTGTCAATGTTGTGCATTGTGCGATACTTTTCCTAATCTTTTTAGGCTGTGACTGTGACTGGTAAATGCCATAATATTATGGTAATAATGCAATAACAACATTGTCAAAAGAATGAATTCAAATAGCTGCTTACTGAAGAGTCGCACAAAAGATGCTATTTAATATGTAAAATACCTGGTATTTCATCGATAAATTAAAAAAAAAAAAAGCAAATGGAATGCAGTGACGCTCAGATCATTGCTATTGCGACTTAAATTTTGCATAAATTTAAAATATATATAGATTAATAAATAATTTAAATACAAACTGATAAAAAAAAAACGTAATATTGCATATTTGAATAATTTAAATTGCAGCTTTTAACCGGCCGGTAATATTTGACAGATATCTTTAATGGAATTTTTAGGTTATTTTTTAAAGTGCGTGTCTGTGACGTGTAAGGTGGTGCCGCTGTTTTGTATATTTTTCGAAATGAAGAAAGTAAATTAACAGGAAAAATAGCACTGCCAAAATATCGTAAAATAAAAAAGGACGTACGCGAAACTTACTTTGGTATTTCAGTTTCATTATTTTTTTCACTTAACCTCAAAGTAAGCTGATAGCAAAATTTTCAATATTTATCACAAAAAGTCTCAATATTTTTGCAGAACTCAAGATGCTAGGCCTAGGAAAGAAGAGTTCCGTTGGTAACAACACCGAAAAGCAAGAAACTTTATTGACCTTATCGATTTTAACGTTAGCGGCTATTTTGTGTAAGCGGCAGTAATTTTCCTATTACAGTATGATTTATTAATATTATGTAGCTTTCGCCACTAGACTTTTTTCCGTTCTACGTTTTGAAAGTGTAATTCACGAATTTGATCCATACTTTAACTACCGAACAACAAAGTTTCTAGCTGAAGAAGGATTTTATTCTTTTCATAATTGGTTTGACGATCGAGCATGGTATCCTCTCGGCAGAATTATTGGTGGTACGTTAAAAATATGATAGATTTAGATAGTTTTATCTCAAGTGCGGACTTATCTTTAGGTACTATATATCCAGGTCTGATGGTCACGTCAGCTGCTCTTTATCATTTATGCTGGCTTTTAAATATCACAATTGATATTCGAAACGTTTGCGTATTTTTGGCTCCTTTATTTTCGTCTTTCACAACGATAATAACTTACTTGCTGACAAAAGAGGTTAAAAATGCAGGGGCGGGACTTGTTGCTGCAGCAATGGTATCAATTGTACCAGGTTATATCAGCAGATCAGTTGCTGGAAGTTACGACAATGAAGGGATAGCCATTTTTTGTATGCTACTTACATATTACACATGGATTAAAGCTGTTAAAACTGGAACGATTTTGTGGGGGACTTTAGCGGCACTTGCATATTTTTATATGGTAAATAACGAAAGTTTTGCTAAATTATTGGATTTTATGGTTTTATTATAGAGGTACCGAAATTTCTACCAAAAACAATTCTTGAAGTTAGTTAGTTTTATGTGCCATAAAGTCCAAATAGTTGTAGCGTTTTTAATGCAGTGTGATAGAAAATATTTTGAATCATAGTAGGCTTGCGCTAGCGTGCTACATTTGGCATCTCTGACTCATTGATAAATAATATAACACAAAGTAAAAGTAGCGATATTTAACTATCAGTGGAATGTATGTGATGGCAGATATTTTTGAAGTTGTTTTAATTTCATTTTGAAAAGAATTAGAATAATGCTTTATTATAGTGCGCTACTCACAGCCAACTCTCATTCAAAATAGATTCTTCATCTTCAACTTACTTTTACAGGTATCATCTTGGGGAGGATATGTATTTTTAATCAACTTAATCCCACTTCATGTGTTAACACTTATGATAACGGGTCGATTTTCACATAGAATTTATGTAGCTTATAGTACTTTATATTGTGTGGGAACGATATTGTCAATGCAGATATCTTTTGTTGGATTTCAACCTGTACAAAGTTCCGAACATATGCTGGTATGTGTAAAAACCAAAAACCGTACGATTAATTCCAATGTACACACACGTAACCAAGACCAGGCGTTCACACCGAGATATTCACTAAACTAAAATTTGTAAACAGAATATAAGATATCGTATGTTTTTAAAGATTGATTTTTTGATACATATTTAAAAAAAAAATAGTTTAATATTATTTTTTCGCTATTTAAGGTTTTATCACAATTTTATATTACAAATTTTGACAAATTATAATTCCAAAAGTAAAAAAAATCGGGTTTATTCAACATAAAAGTTAAATCTCCGAGGTGGGTTTGTGATTTTTTAAATAAGAAGTCAGACCCCGTTTAAACTAAGCCATGTTATGTTTATTTATCATCAGGGCTCAGCTCAGACACAGGGTGCAGGCCTTGGATTGCGAACATCAAGGCTGAGAATTTACGTTGACGATTATTGTTCTGAAAATTAAAAGGTCATAGTTTTTTTACTTCATCCATAGGTATTAAATTATTAAATATAACGACAAACAAACAAACTAAATACAACCGTAGGAGAACTCTTTCAATTTCCAAAAGAATTATCAGTTCATATTGGCAGATTCGGGAGCTATAAAGAAATCAAACAATGTATAATGTGTATGTGAATAGTTTGATAAATACCAGAAAATTGTGTACGTCTAAGAGTGTACCTCTCATTGTCTTAAATTGTTTGTTTTGGCGTTAGCAAACCCAAGCAGATAGACATATGTTTAAGTTCGTACGATACTCTGGTCACGTGTGTATAAAATGGAATTAATCTGGGGTGGTTATTTCACTCAAAAAAATTTTAGGCGTTGGGTGTCTTTGGATTGTGCCAAATCCATGCTTTTGTTGATTATCTAAGAAGTAAACTGACAAGGAATGATTTTGATGTGCTATTTTCCTTCTTGGTTTATACCGTGGGCATCTTATTTGTTGCTGTTTTTGGAGTACTAACTCTATCTGGCAAAATTTCGCCATGGACAGGACGTTTTTACTCCCTTTTAGATCCATCGTATGCGAAAAACCACATTCCAATCATTGCCAGTGTATCAGAACATCAACCAACGTCTTGGAGCTCGTTTTACTTTGATTTGCAAATCTTAGTTTTCCTCTTCCCCGCAGGACTTTACTTTTGTTTTACTCAGCTCACTGACGCAAACATCTTCATGATTCTTTACGGAGTTACCAGCATCTATTTTGCTGTAGGTGGAATAAAAGAAAATGAAGTAGGAACTCAATTTAACATTTTAGGGGGTTATGGTGCGCCTAATGCTGGTGTTGGCTCCCGTAATGTGTATTCTTAGCGGAATAGCTGTATCCCATTTACTTACAAAGTTCATGAAAAATACGGATTCTGTAAAGCCTACAGATCACAAAAAAAGCAAAAAGCTTGAATCTAACTACGTAATGAAGAATGAAATTTCCTTAGCTTTTGTTGGCGTTATTTGCTTGTTATTGGTTTCTTATACTTTCCATTGTACTTGGGTAACATCTGAAGCATACAGTTCACCGAGTATAGTACTTAGTGCTAGATCACATGATGGAGGACGGATAATATTTGATGATTTTCGTGAAGCGTACTATTGGTTAAAAATGAATACCCCTGAAGATGCAAGAATTATGTCTTGGTGGGATTACGGTTATCAGATAACTGCGATGGCAAATCGGACTATACTTGTGGACAACAATACTTGGAACAACACACATATAAGTCGTGTGGGGCAGGCTATGGCTAGTTCAGAAGAGAAAGCGTATGAAATCATGAGAGAACTAGATGTTGATTACGTTTTAGTAATTTTTGGAGGGTTAACCGGTTATTCGTCAGATGATATAAACAAATTTTTGTGGATGGTTAGAATTGGTAAGTACTTGGCATAGTTTTAGTACGACGTCACTGATCAAATGAAAACAGGGGGAAGCACTGACAGAGGAGCTCATATTAAAGAATGGGATTATTACTCTACCAGTGGAGAATTTAGAGTGGATAAGGAAGGTTCACAAACTTTACTAAACTGCCTCATGTACAAAATGTGTTACTATAGATTTGGTCAGGTCTACACGGAAGGTGAGACTCCATTTTGCATATTTTTTGTGTGAAATTAATTTTTCCTAGGTGGTAAGCCACCTGGTTATGATCGAGTTCGTGGTGCAGAAATTGGTAACAAAGATTTTGAACTGGATGTTTTGGAAGAAGCGTACACTACCGAGCACTGGCTAGTGCGTATATATAAGGTTAAAGATTTGCCTAATAGGGGAGTATAATTATTTTCAGTTGTGAACTTTTAACACTGCTACATTGTTTTTTTTTAATAATTAATAAAAAACGACTGATACAGTTTCATTTGCAATTTCATTTTTTTTAACGTCTAACCCAGTGATATACCGTTGGTGATTTTATAACTACGCATTATCTTCGTATGTATCTTCTGTTTCTTTAACGTACTCATCTCAGTTTTTTATTTTATTTTTTTTAAACAATGCGAAAAGACATGATCACGAAAGCAGCGAAACTAATGTTACGAAATAAACCCATGTAGCGCCTATGGGTTTTCTCGAGGGCTTTCTAGTATGTACGGCGACCGAGCGGCGTTTGACTAAAGAAAAGCCTGGAAGCGGAAGTCGCGATGGGTACTCCAGAAAAACCTCGATCGCGACTCATCTAGAAGGGAACGTATGGGTTTAAATAGAGGCCACCTTAGGGAACGATTCATTCAGTTAATGAGAGAATCCAGTTGCCCCGGAATTATTTCTGTACAGAATCGCTGTGTAATAGTCGTGTGGATCTGAGTTACTGAGAAATAAATTGTTAAGTTTTATCCACGCCGATTGTAATAATTAACGATCATCGTAATACTAATAAAGAGTCCAGAATTGCTTCCATTGAAATGGTATTTTACTAGAGTAACTAAATGGCGAATATTCGTTGTTCTCAGAATGAATCAATGCACGGCAAAGTACGCATATCTGGTTCAAGGTGCTCGTCATTTTACAAACACGACGACGAATACCTTGGCTTTTTGGTATTCGGCAAACATTTACTTGGTGTTCGCTGAATGCCGAATGTTTGGTGCCGCCTTTATACAATTAGATAGTCTGTACAGTTCATAAAATTGTCACGATACTCCATAAAATTGAAAAAGTGCTCAATAATATTTCTACCTTAAATACCCACTTTCTGATCGTGCAGAAAGAAGTTTTTGTGTAGGAATTTGTATGCAACTTCAAATAGTATGTTATTGTCGCAACAAAAGATGGATTATTAGAGGGAGTCCAGTTGTATTAATGTTTGTGATAAATTTTGCAATTTTTTGTGTGCATTCCGATTGAGGGCAGATGGACATTGTGCATAAATACATTGTACCACCGTTTAGTTGTACGGCCTTCGGCCATTCCGACGACATAGGGTAAATCAGCTTTTATTATAGAAAATGAAAGCAAACATCTGAGTTTACCTTTTGGATTACAGAACGTCCCAGCCACATTTCAAAGAATAATAAAGATTAAGAATACAAAATGTGGCGGACTGGAAATTCCTTTCCTAAGGAATCCCAGGGCTTCTGTATTATGATGACTGAAAACGCGAGCTCCGAAATCACTCAAATGTCCTAGCCAAGACCATTTATTACCTTCCACGGCCTCGCGTAAATATACAGCGTGTCATTGAAAGGCACGTACAAAATAAAATCGGCAATTGGTCTCGAACTATGGGTGCTAAAAGTTAAAAAAGGTTCAGGTAAAAATGTTGTTCAAGTTCGTTGTACGCCTCTGATAAAAAGATCATCTTGACAAAAGTTTTATTGTTACAGTTGATAGAATTTACTAAAATAAATTGATTTTACCTATTTATCTTTCAGTTTCAGTAGCGTCTAAAAAGGTTGGATAAGAGTTAATTTCCCCTTATAATTTTGATAACACAAAATAAGTTTTTCAGACTTCTTAGACTTCGCGAAGAACTGTCAATTTTGTTGTACGTACTTTCAATAACACCCTATATTTTCAGTTGCTCCATTTCCGCTCAAAGACGATTACTTTGTTTTACGAATTACGGGTAATGCATTTTTAACAGAATTGGATCTCATTATTCAGTCAGCCTATCTAAGGCCAAGTTAGTCGCGACGCCTAACTCTTCCCTAGATTAACAGGAAGTAGCACCTAGTGCACCCCAAGCCATCTTCTTCTAGTGGTTGAAGAGCATCGAGCTTCTCTGATTAAATTCACTTGCATGCACTGCATGCAGTTGCAGTATTTCCAGTCATTCCGCCAAAAATTAACATGTGAACAAAATTTTGAAAATCCGCGAAAAATTCGAAAAAGCGGCCATGAAGTGTGATCATCAACCAAAATGAAACCCTGCGTTGTGTTTTGAGATGGCGGAATGCGTTCTAATGCAAAATGGTCAACCGCAAAGGTGGAAAAGTGACCTTGAATTAACGACACAAAAATATGGCGTGAATAGTTTTATTAAGTTCTTTCTCTCTTTTTTTTTTAATTGGGCTGTATTTTCAAGCAACAAAAGATCGTGCTTTTCAAGTGCCAGATTACAAATTTCGATCACATAAACACAGCTTGTTCTCAAATGTACGCAATGCTCTAGTTTGCAACTTCTCATCTAAGGGGAATGAAAGGCAATGCCCAAATCATTACAGTGGCGTGTTGGCAGATTTTTATATTTTGGCAGTCGACCAAAAACTGTTTCTTTGCACTAACCATACCTATGCACAACCAAGCCGCGGTGTCCCCACAAGCGTCCGCTATGCCTTCTGTGTTTGCTGATGCCTGCGATAGCTACTTCAAGTTTTATTTCGCAACTATACTCCATCCACCGCGTGATACACGATACTGGTTACCCCCAGCAGAGTTTACCAGAAAGACACCATCCACATATCTTGCGTTGATGGAATCCGGTATTGCGAATAAACAGTCATAAGAATGACAGAAAAAAATTGTCAGTCTAGACGTGGGCTGATTTGCCAATTTGTTATGCTATCTTAACTGTAGTGGACTCAGGCTCTTCATTCGAACAAATGCTTTGAGCATAATATTTTGTTGAAGGTGTTTGCCAGATACATATTTATTAATATTACATACCTAAACTACAACATTTTGAAATGCATGGTAAACCTCTTCGTTGGAAACAGCAGACATTTTGGATTCCGTAGTTCAACTAGTTAGTGGTATATACCTCAAGGATCGGTACGTGGTCAATCTCTTTTGTTAGTTTACAATGGAATTTAAATTTTTCTGCAAGCAGCTCTTACTTTGTAGTGTACGCGGAAGAACTTAAAATTTATAACGACGGTTGCAATAATATTTTACTATAGCAAATGACGTATCAGTTGTCCATCAATGGGTGCAAAAACGGGGTCTACCATTAATAATAGAGGAGTGCATTGTGTGGCGGCTCTGCCAGATTGTTTCTAATTTTGTTTATTGTCCGACTTTTACATGATTTCGATGTCCGAGTATATTAGCGTGTACCCGTCGCAAAAAATATCCCTTAGGTCCTGGATCCGTGAAAGTTCGGGTTAAGGGTAAATCAGCAGTCGACAAGTTCGGTTTTTAGGTGGTCTATTAAAATGTAATAATATAGGTGAAACGGAAGACAACGAGACATCGGAGTATAAAACAAAGCAAAATCTGGATTAAAGTAACTGGATGTAAATACACAAATTATTACGGGCGTGTGGCGTCAAATTTTAAAAATAATTTATACGATGTGAACATTCATCAACAAAATATTTATAAACAAAACTTAACAAAGATTTATGAAAAACAAAAGACCTGGTGTGAAATAAACTTGTGCCAATAGAAATATTATGCGAGGTTAAAACTGTAGAGCATGAAATTTACGTTCAATTAAAATTACACAACAAAGAAAATTACTGAGGTTAAAATTGTGAGTTGGAGAAATATTGTATGAGGTGCAAATTTGCAAAGTTAACAAAATTTACATGAAATTAATATTTGCCACACTTTATCAACGATTCAAGCAAAGAGTTCACATTATGTCAAATTATATCATGATCTAAGTGATTGGTTACTTAAAAAAAAGCAATTTACTTTGAGAGTTTAGAATACCGCGAACTGGTTACTCCAACAGAACACATAATAAACTGACACAAAAATATCCAATCATTGTTGCGAGGAAAAAGCGTCTCGGTGATGTAATTTTATCGTTTTGAGGGAATACCTCGATGATGTGTATTTTAGGGTTGCGAGGAATAAGCCTCGTTGATGTTATCAATCTCTAGCGTTGCGAGGACATGCCTCGATGAAGTAATCAATCTGTAGCGTTGTGAGGGCATGCCCCCGGTGATGTAATCATAATAACGATGATAGCCGCCTAAGGGAAGAAATTATTTTAACTCCCCGCCAGTTTGCAGTATGAATTTTGTTAATTTAACTGCCGTAAATGAACTATTAGCAATCTTGTGCGAAGAATTAAGAAGTGTTATAATGTAATACTTACGCGTATGCATCCAGAAACCTATTCGTAATTTGTTAAACAAAGAGTTATTATTATCCTGACCAAGTGAATTTCATTAAATCTTCTAGTAAGTGGTTTATTTAAATAATCCTGATTGTTAAATTGTATTTGCACTAGCTGAGGATTAAGAAAAACTAACTTGATTGGTGAATTTACAAACAATAAAACAAATTAACAGCACGTGTTCCGCGTTGAACGAAAGTCTGCACTTTTTTTCGATTAAAAGGGCGAAAGAATTAGCCGCGCGGTTTGGGGAAAACTGTATCGTCACAATAGAAGTTACGATTGATTGTCGTTAAACAAAGGCTTACTCCCTTTTATTAACTACCGAACCAACTAATTTAAACTAGCTCTTACCACGTACGTGTTTAGATTCACAAACATACATTCAGACTGACGCTCCACCAACCCTCTAACTAAAATCCCTAGCGCTACCAACTGTCCAACTATCCAGCAAGCGTTACCGTGATTTTTTTTTCTTTCTCAAATTCAAATTATTCAAATGTGATTTCGCGCCGCTGTTAATTAATTTCAGTGCGAAAATTTTGATTTAAATTCGGTCATCACAATGGAAAGACGAGGAGTATTTGTTAATGTACCAACTAAAGAGATGCCCGATCGCTAAACTGAGCGCGTGGATGAGGAAAAAATTTGGGCAGCACCGCATAGAACAGACTGTCCCAGTACGGCACGGGAGGCTGACTACCAACTACAATCCGAAAAAGTTAATCTGACATGGAGTTAAATTAAATACGGCCCCGGCTATTTCAACATCCTATACATTATGCGACGTTTTAAGCCTAATTAAGTAACTAGGGCTGCTATCGCAGTCATCAAAATACTTTACAGTTATTTTATTTGACATACAATTCATTACTTTTTAATGTGTTGTAGTTATAAGCGGGTTTAACAGGTTGCTGCCTTTACATAATCGTATCTTGAATAGCAGCAGGCGCGGATCCAGGGGGGGGGGCAATGGGTGCAATTGCCCCCCCCCTGACACACGACCGAGGTACTTTATTTTGACCAATTTCAAAATTTTGAAATCATATTTCATTTTGTAAATATAGTACAACCTCTATAATCCGAACTCACGATTGTCTCAACACCCAGTAATCCGAACAGAGGCTATTTGAAGTCGATGCCTCTTTAATCCGAACAAAAACTCTGCAATCCGATCTGAACTTGAAAACATGCATCTGCTTCCAAAAATGACGTAAGATCTTTCTGCATATGTTGTATGGAATATTTTTAATTTTTTAAAAATTGCGATATTTCAAAGCACTGAATTAATTAACTAATTCTGGAAAAACGGATGAAGTTATCGGAGACCCGAAATCTACAAGAGAAAGTATTTGGTTAAATTTCGAAAATCGTCTAAAATGGGTCGAAATTTGCATGAGAAAAATTTCATTTTCGAAAAAATTTCCTAAAAGTTCTGAAAAAATTCAGAGATATATATACCGACGTGCTGATTCCAAAAATATACCATGTTTATGGTAACGGAGCAATATTTTCGGAAAATTCGAATTTTTCGAAATTTTTAAAAATTGCGATATTTCAACGATTCTGGAAAAATGGTTTAAGTTATTGAAGAAATGAAGCCAGAAGTGACTTCTGAGGTCCAAAATCTACAAGAAAATATATTTAGTTAAATTTCGAAAATCGTCGAGAATGGGTCGAAATTTGCATAATGGAGGTAATACGAATACATAATGGAAAATTTCATTTTTGAAAAATTCATCTAAAAATTCTGAAAAATTTCAGGGTATAGATCCCGGGGTGTTTATTCCAAAAGATAGCGTGTTTATGGTCACGGAGTACTATTTTTTTAGAATGTATCTATTATCCATTGTAGCTTAAGAATTTTTTTATTTTTGTTTAATAAAATTTAGGTTTATTTCTTGAAGTTTGTTTTCAGTTGTGTATGAAGTTGTTATTCAATTCCGTTTCAGATTTTTGGGAAAATTGTTGATCCGAACAAATCGTTAATCCGAACACACCTTTTTCCCAATTAATTAGGATTATCGAGGTTCTACTGTACACTTTACGTGTCACCCATGTTATGTGAAAATGAGTATACTAGCTAAAATTTTATAAATTTTTTTGTTTAGAACGAATTTCTGGTAGATAGGTAAAATTGCACAAAAATTGCCCCCCCCCTGAACGAAATCCTGTATCCGCCCCTGAATAGCAGTAATAAACAACAATCAGCTGGTAATAAATAATAGTAATAATTAATTGTGAAATAAAGCATCATTCGAAATTTAACAAACATGTCATCGAATCAAGAAAAGTTGCGTGAAAAAATGTTGTACACATGGGTTCGGTGTAAAGATGGTTCTGATCATGGGTGGTAACATGTATTGTGCTGTTATGCTGTTAAGATCTATTTTAAATCACTACCAGATTATCGTATTCTACAAAAAACCGAAAATCTATTAAATTATGAGTTTAAGACCTTAAAATTGATACGGATTGAAATATCGCAACAGCACCAAATTCAGGAAAATTGAGTTTAATATAAATTACCCTTAAAGTAAGAAAAGATTTTGACATGACGTAATCAAATTTTTGGAAGACATAATACATAGATCAATTTCGAAAATCTTAAAATACACCTTAAATGTCAAAATACGGTTCGTAAACTTCGAAAATCGTCTCCAGACAAAGGTGATCCTCTTACAGTTTTTCGTCGTGATAGCGTTTACACTAAAATTAAATTCCCTAGGAAAAATTAATAAGTAAATACATTATTATCATTGAAGAAAACGCTGTAATACAACCGTGGCTGTAACATACATGTGGAATTGATGTACTTCAGGCACAAGGGAAGTTCTGTCTAAACAACTTTACATGGTGTATTTTTTAACAATAGCGCCTTTAATTAGAAAACGTAGTTACTTCAAATTAATTAGTCGGCAAATTTGTTTATGGGTGTTAATTAATGGAACCATAATCTTAATAAGGGATTTACTTAATCTCCTTATACAACCAACAATACCATAAAAAATGATGGTGGTTGTAAAGATCGTTACACGACATGCGTACAAAAATCTCAAATAAATAGTAAGGTTACTAACAACCAAGTGCACTTCGGTTGTGTACGTTTGCGTGTGTCATCCTTGAATTTTAGTGCGGGAAATAAAATCGTATACATAAGAACAACAAAGTGATTCCTTTGAGTTATATAATTTTAATGCCTTGTCTGCTATAAATTCACGACTTGGATGTAAGTATGAGTATGTTTATTATTATAAGTTTTGGCAATGAAAATTTTTAATTCTATGAACAAGCAGTGACTGCTATTTTAATTTTCGTTTATGTAACACTCCTTCATCAGTGATCGCTGAAAGTAATCACAATTAAAGGACCAAACAACACTGATTTTCGTATGCTTATAAGAATTAGGTTAATAAGTATGTTATTGATTCGTTTGAATTATATTCTTATTCATTCTCTTTCGTATTAATAAAACTGCGAATTAAATCTAATGTAGAACCGGTCGGAAACAATGTTTATGCGATAACAGATTAATAATAATGGGCGGTAGTAGGTTTATGTGTGTAATTATGACCGTTATTTGTTTAGTTGATTTTTTTTTCTCTTAAAAATTAACACGTGTTCCTGCATATATTTTTTACCGTTATAGTTTTTAATACTTGTTCCTATAGTCACAAGGCTTATTTTATTTTTGTGTGCATGTAACTAACATATTCTAAATTCAATGTCAAGGACGAATCTGTGAAAATTTGCAGTGACTTTTCGATTTAGCCTTGAAATAAATTCCGGAAATAGCGTGTTGATAAAGAACAATCGGGCCGTTACTTAACCGATGGTACTGACGGGAGTCTCGGCCGATCCTCATTCACAAATACCTGATGCGATATGTATCATGGTTGAAATAATTAAAATTTCAAGGACATGGGTCAAAGATTTTTGCCGACTGTGAGGTTTTAATTACTTGTAAAAACATGACTGTCCACGTATTTTGCAGTTAATGCAAAAATGCGATGCAATTGAACATTGAACATGTATTTGCACTTTTTTTGCGACAAATACATTAATAAAGTACTTAACCATCGAAAAAAAAAGTAGAATTGGTTGTTTTAAAATTACAGTTGGCAATTTTGATAGTTGAACGTTGGATGGATTCGATTTTTGATTGTGATTATTTGATTAGTAGCAATGTAAGCGGATTGACATTTACGGGAAAGATGTTGGAGAAAAGTTGTGCCTTGAGCGATCTGGCAGTGATACTGATCTGACAGATGGTTCAATTTGATTTGGACTGCCTGTATATAAGGCTAGTCCGTGCATTTTACTCTTACGGTGTTTTCAATGCATTTTCAAAATGTAATACCTGCATTAGTAATTGACTTTTTGTTATGAAATTTTAAATATAACCCGTCCACAATTTTCTCTATAGGTATAACGTAAGGGCAGTTTTTATCACCACCTTTGAACAAAAACCATCTTTGTGTCGAGTAAGCTGCTTTTATTGTGTCTCATTTCCGACAAAACGTCTTTATGTTTTCGTTACGATTTATCGAGTTTTGTGAGTTAAAAACATTGGTGATAATCACGTCCCAAAATTTCCAAAAATGATTTAGATATTGATTTTTAAAGATACGTGATGAAATATTTCACCAAAATTTTATGATTTACCATGTGATTTACCACTTAACCACAAATATCATAAACCCTTCCTTGTCAGAGATTTATGATAAACTCCAGTCGATCGTTTCGAGCTTTACAATTACCATTATCCATGAAGGAGTGAACAGCAGTATTCAATAATGTTTTGACAAAAAATTGGTCCAAAATTATTTAGAAAGAACTTGGCTAGTTCCTGAAATACGGGTGAACAAAAACAGCTTCTTTGAAAAAATAAAAACTTTAATTTTGCGAATTTTATTTTTTGATGATAACCCTGTAAAAATTCAGATTGTTAAAGTACAGGTAAAGAAGTATTTTATGAATTAAAATAGTGTACTACTAATAACAGTACTATGTTCTCGGGAAATTTGGATGAGCCATTCTTGATTTAAATTTATAACATAAATTGCCTCATTCATTTTTTTTGAGACAGTATATAATTCCAAAAACAATGCAGACATTGATAAACCACAAGTATAGTCATAATATTTTAGAATTATAGATAGGATTAATTCGGTAATATTTTGTTTTCGTGTTCAAAGCTAACGGAACGGAACAAATCACATTACATAATGGTAAATTATTTGTCGTTGCAATGGAGTAATGTCAGAAAAAATAGTTAGTCAATAAAAAAATAATGCATCCAGAGGTTAATAATTAATTGAGATATAAATGGAAATAAATATCTTCAATTGTTATCACGTGTTGATTGCAATTTTGTCAAAGCTTTTGCCAACTTTATTTACTTGCTCGCTAATTAAATCTACACCGCTAGAACTCACTGTTGGAAAATAATTGCTTTTCTTAATTGGTTTTTATTTCCCGGGCGTAAGCAAAGGAAGTATTGTAATCGAGTCAGTCGGCCGACTCTCTACTTTTGCATTTTCTCGACGTATCATGATCCCTAGAGCATGAAGAAATGGTCTCCCGTTTCCGTCTGTCTGTCTGTCCGTCTGTCTGCCGTCCCGGATTTTTATAGACAGATAATCTCCGAAAGTACTCGACCGATTGTTGTGAAATTTTGTACTTATATTAAGAATATCATGTAGATGGTAAAACGCTCACCAAAATTTGTCTAATCATCCCCACCACTAATGCGATGACGTCACTTCAAAATTGTACATAGTAAATGGGTTTTAAATTGTATAAAATAACATAGTCTTACACATGTAGTTTATGACTCCGAATTGAGATTTTACCTGAAACGTCCAGATTTTTGGAAAAAAAATCAAAATTAGGAAACAACATGTTTACTTAAAAAAAATCGGATTCACATCCCATTTGTAGAGAAAAGTATAATTTACCAAGTGCTTTTTGATTTTCTGCTTTTTTACATTAAAATTTTCAAGTACGTTCTTGCATGGCAGGTAGCGATCGGCAAACCCAATGTAATTTACAACCATTGCGGTTTCTTATCAATAGAGTAGTTGTTGGCTTTTATAACTTGTAATGTAAATTATTTTAATGGTTCTAGAACGTTTATTTCTCAAAATTGTCCGCGCGTTTCGCCAATCATGTTGGCATTTCTGATAATTTAAAAAAAGTTTTTGATTTTTTTACTTTTGGGTTGTTTGTTAATTTTTAACAGTTGGGAACTTAATGTAACTATAAAATGAAAACTGGTTGTTTTCTTTCAATTGGTTCCATTATAGCGAAGTTTTACTCTTTGTTGTTTAAAATTAGCGTCAAGAGGAATATCTATCGTGAGTGAAAATTAATTGTGATCTTGTGTAATTGGTTAGTATGTCGCTACTTTAGAGGTAGCGCTCATTAACCAACACGTCTTCGTAATTTAAAGAACAATTTTATAAAAAGTGAGTCATAACTTTGATTATACTTTTTTGCGTTTTTTTGTACATATACAATGTGACTTAATTGACGTGTACATATATTACTTAAATACGCACAATTTGAAGCAAAGATGTAGTAAAAACTAATTTTTAATTTTCACAAATTGTTAATTTTACCTTTATGTGAACTGTTGAGGATTGTTACAAAATTAATTATAATTAAATAGTTGCATATCTCTGAAGTCGAGTATAACAATAATTACATTATCCAACAGTAAGAAAAATGAAATAGAAAAAGAAAAGTTAGATATCGAGTTTCATACCAAAGTAATGAAAAAATTATGAAAATAAAGCAGTATTTTATTTAACTGGTGAAAATTTTATTTTCATCATGATACTTCAAAATGTGGAAAGTTCGGAGGAAATTCCATCAAAGACTTTATTAACATTAGTATACGAAGGCCACGACAACCAAGGTGCAGTGTTTCTGTTGTAGACCCATGCATGCATAATTTTTGATTATTCAATTCACTAATTTAAAAAGTACATTATTGCATCGTTCGAGGCAAAAGCTTTTTTGCGTAAAACCTGTCCGTTTAAAGTTATTAAGTGCAAATGGGTGGAAAATATCTTTTTTTTTTTAACTATTTTCAACACTTATTGGTTATCCTGGAAATATTTTCACAGTTTTTCAATGTAATTATGACTAAATACAGTTGATCAGTAAGTTGTAACGCGTGTGTACATCATGAAAGAACAGCTTTTGCCTTATGTAACAGTCAGAATTTTTGTGATTAATAGGTGACTTGAAAAAACAGCTCAAAAAGGATTGTACAATAAAAAAAAAGCGGGTGATCGATAAAAATCGTTCTCAAGTTAGCTACTCTGCGTTGTGAATGAGAATGACAGCTTATCCAACTAGAGGACATTTGTTATTGATCATACTTTACAAAAACAATTTTTTAAGCATTTTTAAATATAAGTTGGTCACATAGCACAAGCAATGTTGTTAACACAGCAGAACTTCTGTCATGTTTCTGTTTTATCTCCATGTAAAATCGTCTACAAACTGTTATGACCAAAATTTCATGAAACTCTCGTAGACATATGTTTGCCTAAAAAATCTGCAATTCCGAAGAAGGGGCAGATATGTAAAAAATGTAAAATAATAAATTTAGAAAAGCAGTGTGTCTACCTGTATAAATATATACACAACAATAATATACAGGTTTCTATAAATGATTATATATACAGTGCATCTTTTTTAAAAGTGGCCATAGGGATTCCCATGTTAAATTTTATACCCCATGTTAACTTATGTTTGAGTAAAGATTCAGAGCTGAAATTTTTACTGGATGTAATTTGGGTTATCTTTTGTCGATTTTTATTAAAAGTCATGTTTTAAAATAAAGGATATTTCTTTAAAAAAATTGGTTTAAAGAGTTTAGACAGTACTTCCCTCGCTGTCGGAAACTTGACGACTGCATGCCTATTGTGTTTTTTTTCTCATTACATTTTTGTAGTGGGAATTAAAAAAAAAATGTGATGACGTCATCAACATTTTTGCAAGGACACGTATATCAGTTGGGATAGATGTAGTGTAATACTAAGAATAAAATTATTGTATTCCCAAATTTTCGGGAAAATGAATTGGGTCGTTTTGAATATTGATTTCTTATAATCAATAAAATAACGAAACAATTTACTCACGTATACGGCGCCGGTGTGTAATATCTAGAGAGCGGATTTCTGTCGGGCTAGGCAAGGCCAAACTCGGTACGGC